GGCTGGCTGGCTGGCTGAATCAAATGTGGGAGGGGTATCGTTGTGTTCCATACTAGCCGTGAACGCCAGAATGTGGATGTATCGCGGCAGATGGAACATCATTGCCTTTGAGGTCGGGGGGAATGTGGAGAGATGGGCTAGTGTATGCCTCAGCTGGCGGAAGGCTGGCTGCGTAGCCAACGACTGGCCACAACTTTTGCCATGTATGGAGTACTTTGTAGGGTGACGGCTTGCCGAGTTCCAGGTTTCTTCTCTTGTTTGGGAAGATATGGGGAAGAAGGGACAACGAGGGAACGCGAGATGCGGGGGTGGTGCACTGTACTTGGTATATCCATTCCGCTTTTGGTTAGGTAATATATCGATCGACGGCTTCCTACTCGGTACTTGGTATGTAACATACAAGTACTTGTACAGTACATACACCATGGACCAAGGGAGATTAGATTAGATTTGGCCTAGCCAATCTCGCTAGGGAAATTGGCACTTGAGGTAAAGGCAGGCATCTGACCGTTGCAACGTCGTCTTCTCAGCATCAGCACAACCCTATCTTCCTCCGATATGTATTTCGGCATCTGAAACGGGCTGCATACGCGGTATTTATATGAGCATGGGCGGAGCTGCCATGGAGGGTACAAGCCATCCACATAGGTAAGAAACACAGCTCGAAACTGTTGTGAAGTTCCAGGCTGATTGGCAATGGTGCCACAGCTTCCAGCCATACCAAAGCATGGATCCAACCATCTCTGCATCCACCGGACTGCCGGCAAGCATCATCCTGCTTCTGCTAGCAGTTATAACTCTGTTGGCAGTCACCGTCCATCGTGGGCTCACCGTTGATCACAGTCCCGGGGAGCCTCCAATTATTCAGCCAGGGATACCTTATATCGGCCACATACTCGGAATCATCAGATACGGGACCAAGTATTTTGAAATAGTCAAGTAAGTGCTGTATGGCTCTGATACTGGGAATCTAACTTGGCTCAGCCGCAAAACTCGGTACCCAATCTACACCTTACCCACCTTATCCACTAGGCAGTACATTGTCACGTCTCCTCAGATTGCTGCCCTGCTCCAGCGACAGCACAAGGACCTCGCCTTTTACAATGTCATTCTGGAAGTTACTCGTAGGTTGACAAACCTTAGACCAAGCACTATGAAAATCGTCATGAAGAACGTCAATGCTGAGCACGGTGATTGGGGCCTCATGCCGACTATGCACGATATGTTCAACACCGTCCTCGGCCGAGGAGAGTCACTCAAAGATCTTACTCGATCGCAGATGTCGATTTTCTCAGAGATGCTGAACGACGTCGCCGTCGGGGGCGACTGTTTGGAAACTAACCTGTTCCAGTGGATTAAGTCAATCTTTGCATTTGCCAATGCAAAGTCCATATACGGGCCAGAGAACCCGTTTGCTCTGGATTCCCGTTTGGTTGACGCGTTCTGGGATTTTGAGGCTGGCATGCTGCCTCTCATCATCGACATCTTTCCTTATATCACGGCCAGGAGAGCATATCTCGGACGCGAGGCAATTGCCAAAGCCCTTGTTGACTATGTAAGAGAGAAACGCTATCACAAGGCCTCTCTTCTCATTCAAAAGCGCATTGGCATCAATTTGAGTCACGGATTTACCGAAACGGAAGCTGGTCGATCAGAAATCATTCTGCTCTTTGCAATCCTTGGAAATGCGGTGCCGTCAACGTTCTGGATTCTTGCCAACATCATCAGCCGTCCAGATTTGCTGGCCCAGATACGGAACGAAATCGAGTCGGCAATTCACGACAACGACGACGGAAGCAGAAACATCAATCTCTCCATCATTGAAACCTCCTGCCCGCTATTGGTGTCGACGTACCGGGAGTCGCTGCGTTTGATCGGCAACCTCGCGTCACTTCGCTACGTGTTGAGAGACACGGTAATTGGACAACATCATCTGAGAAAGGACTCTATTATACAAGTGGCTGGGATCATCATACATCATGACCCACAAACTTGGGGTCAAGACAGCGACCAATTCAACCCTCGACGGTTCATCAAGGGACAGGTGTCTGCAACCAATGCCGATCAAGAGCAGTCGGAGTTGGATCTCAAGGAGCCCGCCGCAACACAACTGCCTCCGGGTGTACCCTCTGCCGCATTCCGTCTCTTTGGTGGCGGGAGCGTGGTGTGTCCAGGGCGCCACTTTGCGCAGAGTGAAATTCTAGCTTTTGTTGCATACTTGTTGATGGCCTTCGAGATTTCTGCCCCGGACGGGACGCCCATTACATTGCCTCCACGGGACAATGAAAAGATTCCTTTGAGCGTCATCAAGCCCAAGGGCGATGTGAAAGTCAAAATTACAAGACGCAAAGGATTCGAAGATACTACGTGGCGGTTGTTGGCAGACGGCCAACGCTGATGAGCTTGGATGCTATTTGTGTATGATATAAACAAGCTATTTGAGCAGAGATCCTGGAGCTTCCGATTCTACGTGAAATCTTGCAGCCTTGTCCGCGTCCAGCGAGAGGATGCCAGGCATGGCATCGGAGAAATGTTTCTCCACAAGCCCGCAAGTGGAGACACGACACGTCGCTCCCTCCTTTTCGCTTCGTCAACATCCGAAAATGTGTACCAAATGTTACAAGCAAACACGAATCTTCACTGATCTTTGTGAGTCTGCTCAAGGCGTATGACGATTCCGGGCGAGATTTCGGGCCAACGGAGAGCTTCTCGGTAATTTATAAAACAACTTTGCTGTGGGAGATATTCTCGAAGAATTCGTGGTCCAGAAAAGCTGGGACGAACTTCTTTTCTCCGACCGCGTTCTATTTCCATGCTGACTGAGATCTGCCTTTCTTTCTGTTTCCAGTTGTTCGGACCTCTCCCTTACCATCCGCCGCTAATCCCATCGTAGGTCTCGTGTTTGTCCTTGTCAGCATCAAAAAGAGGAACGGTGTTTGAGAATAGAAATCGACCTGGCGATCGACTTCCTGCATAGCGAACTGTGGCAGCATTGATACAACCCACTCTCGACAAACCAGACATTCACCCTCACTCATCGAATGGGTCCCTAACAAAGGCCCCCTTCTTGTGGCTCTTTTGACCATGATCCGGATGAGACATGCTGCCGTCTGTCTGATTTTCGCAACCCTTGCTAGTTTGGTTCTCTATTACCATTCAACGAGCGGGTCCGTCACCATCAGAGCTTTACAGTCGACGGTTCCGCAGATTGTTGGACTTGGAGACTATTTCGACTTGGAGGAGCAGGATGTCCAGAACCAAAGTCGACCGATTTCGCCCCACAATGGGGACTTGCGTGGCTCGAACTTTTCGACAGAGTCGGCGTCTTCTGAATCTGTGGCAACGGGACTTCCAATAGGCGGTCCCAGATATACACGAAATCTGGTCATGGCTCGGATGAAGGAGGAAAGTGTTTCGTGGCTTGACGGAGTCGACCTCGGCCCCGACATTAAGAAGTTTATCTACGTCGCCGACGACCCCAATGCGCCTTTACATCCACCCAAAAACAAGGGTCACGAGGTCATGACTTATCTCACATACATTATTGATTTTTATGACGATCTACCCGATGTCAGCATCTTCATGCATGCTCACCAAGACGCCTGGCACAATAACGAACTCTTGAACTGGGATGCCGCCGAAATGATCAAACGACTGAGCAGCGAGAGAGTCCAGCGCCAAGGATACATGAACATGAGATGTCATTGGAAGCCGGGATGTCCAGATTGGATCCATCCGGGTCAAATAGAGAGAGACAAGGACAAACTTGAACAGTCATTCATGGCTTCAACTTGGGCCGAATTATTCGCGGACAAGCCCATTCCGGCCGTCCTAGCTCAGCCCTGTTGCTCCCAATTTGCGGTGAGTCGCAACCAGATAAGATTGACACCCAGGGAGACGTATAAGCATTACCGAGACTGGCTTTTACGGTCAGACATATCCGATGTCACCAGCGGCAGAATCTTCGAGTATCTCTGGCAAGTCATCTTTGCGAACCAAAGTGTGTTCTGCCCGAGCCAGCGGACATGTTACTGTGATGGGTACGGTGTCTGTTTCGAGACCGACAAGACTTTCGACAAATGGTTCGAACTGCGCTACCAGAGGCAGATGGCCGAGAAGGAGTTGCGTGAGTGGAAGGACAAAGCTGAAGCCATTGAGAAATTCCGCGACAAAGATGGCAGATTGCAGGGTATCGAGACAGGGGAGCTTCAGGTGCCGGAGATTGGGAAGAAAGAACAGTTGGAGGCTCTGATTGAGGAAAAGGCGGCGGAGCTGGAACGGAGGAGACTGGATGCTTTAGAGAGAGGGAGGGATCCGAGGATCAGAGCCGAGAGTGACGGGCGTCCATGGAAAGACGGAGATGGGTTTTAGAGGGAACTTGAAGAGATAGAGGGCTCATCTATCATGGCGTGCGATGGAGGATACATCTTCTCCGGCCGGACAGTATAATACACATGTACCCTATCAAGGACATTGCGGGAAGGAGGCGAGTTGGTTGTTTTGCCTAGACGCTTGAATTTAGAAGGGGAGCCTTCGGGTCATCCTTGAGGAAGCTGGAATACAGTCGACGCTTATATACATATAGAATTATGTCCATGGGTTTTCGAAACGAGGAATTTCTTGTCGTCCTCCCTCGCGAGTCGAGAGAGTATTGAGTTGCGACTCGCGTGATCCGCCACTTTGGGCGTGCCAGGACACGGCTTACGCCATCGGGGTACGGAGCAACTTCAGACTCCAGAGAAAGCACCCAGGAAATTGAACACCTTTCGCCTTCTACAAGCAAACATTCGCGCCACTCCTCCTCCTCCTCCTCCCCTCGCCTTCCTTCCCATGTTCCGCTCCCTGTTCATGACTGTCTACTCATTGCATAGTTTGTGAGATTCGCTTCATCAACCCTAGCGCTACATGGTCGCTCGGATCGATGGTCGAATGATGGCATCAACCAGAACCCGATCAACTCACATCTGAAGAAGAGTGCCTCTGCTGGATAGATTGCAAAGATGCCCGTGAGGATGAGAATGAGGTGGACGGCGTATGCCGGGGTATGTACCACCGCAGTCTACCTCTTCGTCTCGCCGTCGCTGACACTCCCTCTTCCACAGGCGTCTACTGCCCTAGCTGCGGGCGTCATCCTCAAGGCGCTGGCGCAGCGGCCCAACTTCTACTCCGCAGCTGTTTACCTCTCGCAGTCCTCCGCTAACCTCATGATCCTGACGAACCTCCTATTTGTCATCGCCTGCACCTTTCTGTTGGGACTCCAGAAACTCCTCTACGGAAATCTGCGACCGATCGAGATTGAACAGTTGTACGAAAAGGCATGGTTTGCCGTCACTGAGACGTGTTTGGCCATGACCGTGTTCCGCGGAGAGATCGGACTCACCTTCCTGGCCATGTTCTTCTCCCTCCTCACGGGCAAAGTGTGGGGATGGATTGGTGAGGGCCGCGTGGAGGTGCTGGAGCAACAGCCACCCCGAAACCCAAGACTATTCCATACGCGTTTGGCACTGAGCCTGGGTTTGAGTGTTGCTTTCGACTTGACTATGCTGGAATATGTCGTCAAACAAGTCATGAGAATGGCTCGGCCGGACATGATGGTCATGTTTGGCTTCGAGTTCGCCGTGCTGTCGATTATGAGCATCAGTACCGCGATGAGATATGCCATTGACCTAGTGGAGATCGGCATCGTTCGCGAGCAGAAGAGACACCGAGTAGAAGAGATCAAGCGAGAAAGAATGCAAGCGGCAGTGACCGAGTTTCAGGAGGCCCAGGGGGGACAAGCTACCAGTGCGCCTATCCCTGAAGCTCCGGATGCGACAACGGGCACACCAACACCTACTCAGCGAACCCTTGAACAAGTGTCCCAAGAAGCTTTCAACCAACCTGTCGATGAAAACGAGGTGGAAGTTGAGGGCTGGGAGGACAAAGGTCGCTACATGTTCTACCTTAACCTGGCGACGGATTTCTTCAAACTTGTGATTTACCTTGCATTCTTCTTCATTCTTCTTGTATTCTACGGACTCCCCATCCACATCTTGCGGGATGTGTTCTTGACGATGCGATCGTTTTTGAAACGAATTTCTGACTTTATCAAGTACCGGACGGCGACGAGGGATATGAATGCCCGCTATCCGGATGCCACGGCGGAAGATATTGGACGTGAGGATGTCTGTATAATCTGCAGAGAGGAAATGCGGCCATATGAACCAGCTGTTGCGCAGCCAGGGCAACCACAGCCCCGTCTCAATCCTGTGGCAGAGAGGATGCGGCCCAAGAAGCTCCCTTGCGGGCATGTCCTACACTTTTCTTGCCTGAGAAGTTGGCTTGAGAGACAGCAGATATGTCCGACCTGCAGAGCAAATGTCGTCCGGACAGGTGGAGCTCGAGGTGCAAATGAAGGTGTCGGACAAGGTGAAGCCGGACAGGGAAATGGCGGGCAACATCCACCAGGCGCGAGACAAGGTCCACGTGTGTACCAGTTTGGTCCGCTGAGGATCGGTGTTGGAGCAGTCCGGGGGAATAACATGTTCGAGGAACTTCAACAGCAGCTTGGCGATGGGGCTGCTCCAGCGCCAGCAGGACAGCCTGCAAACCCGGATCCCAATGCACCACGACAGATTGGAGTGGGATTGCGATGGTCAGGGAGAAGACGTCGCCGAGCGGACCAAAACCTGACGACTCAACAACAGCTCGACGCCTTGTCGGTACGCATTCGGCAAGACACCGAGGAGTTGGCTCGGTCGTCGGTCGAGTTGAGCGTGTTGCGGTCGATGCAAGCTGAACTCCAGAGATTACGAAACCTCAGGCCTGGGGAGAGACCACAGACAGAGGCTTCGAATCCAATTCCAGGAGAGGCGGCAAACCCACCCCTTCCTCTCTCCCAACGGATGTCTACACTGGTTCCGGACCAACAGCAAAATATTCTACATGCGGGTAGTGACAGACTTCCCGCCGGTTTGACGCTGCCAGAAGGCTGGATGATGCTGCCTTTACGGCCCACGCGACTCTTTCCCCAGCACCACCCTCAAGAGCATAACCCTGATATTCAAGCGAATCCAGGTCAGCCATGGCCACAAGCGAACGGAATGCCAGTTTCTTTCGGTATATTTCCACATCCCCCACAATTCCCACAGGCCCATAATTCGACTTCTCTCAACGCAGCAAGCAGTGGGCAAACCGGAACTCCTCAGACAAACCGGGTTCAATCTCCAGCGCCTGGGCCTCCGGGTCAACAAGCAGCAACCCAGTCCACCACTGAGCATCTAAATGAGATTCAGATTCCAGCAGCTTATCGGGGCCCCTTTCCCCCTTCCGAACAAATACACCAGCCTCGTCAACAGCGAGCTTCGGCAACTATCAGGCAGATCCTTCAGGAAGAACTCGCCCAAATGAGAGCGAGTCTGGCGGCCTCTGGTGCAAATGGCACCATGTCTCAGCCGTCAGATACATCTGGAACAAATACAACAGTGGCAGTGAACGGGGATCAAGATGTGCGACAAGCCGGTCATCCTTCCGCTCAGTTCCAGACCGCTTCTTCCCTACCTTCTTGGGGATCCACGGCTCCCGAGCCTACGAACAATGCCGCAAGCGGCGACAATGTCAGTGCTGGACCTTCGGGCCTACAAGTGAACGGCAGTCACAATCACGTGGCAGGGAACATGACAGCAGAAGGATCGTCTTCGACCGCTTCGCAATCCAAGGGTAGTTGTGCAACAGTGGAAGACGCGATGGAGGACCCTGATCCGGATTGAAGTATTGGATATGGTGTCGTCTGTGGGAAGGAAAGGAAATGAAGCCTTGTATCCTATTGAATAGTTGATTGCGCCACGGTCACCGACATAGCTAGGAGCCTGCAGTTTATGTGGATTGTCTCAGGACTATGAACCCTGCAGTAGCCGAAGTTCCTTCTTCCAGCCTGAAACCGGCAAGCTCGCTGGTGACGAATACACGGATGACGTTGTAAGGGGGCAAAAACCCGCATTTGCGAGAGGCTGCAAGGGGCAACGGAGAAAGCGGAGCCATTTGGGCGTCGATTGGCTGTCAAGGCTCGACAGGCGAGTCTCACCCTTGGACAGTTTTGGAGAAGTACGAGGTATTAGGTACTGTACCTATAATAGACGGCGAGACGGGTGCCCTCCTGTTGAGCTTGTTTCATCTGCATGGACAAACACATTGTCCCTGAAAGATCGTCGGGTTCAAACGCGCGACTGTCGCCAGTTGACCCGCTCCTGCCTCTCGATGATAGTAATGGATTACTGCGCCTCCGGTTGTGGGTATGCAATGTTTCGGGAGACATGAACTTGTCGTGCTGCGTTGTAACATTTTGACATCAACCCACTCAATGTGCCCTCGTTCTGCAACTTTCCACGCTCTCTTGTTCAATCCATTCTTTTCTTCCTAGGAGCTGCTAAACCTCCAGTCTCTCCTTGGTCCTGATCAGCGTTATTCAGGGTCACGCTCTGCCTCTGTTGACAGGTTGATGGTGACACTCATCATTCCTCTCTTTCAACAATCCAAATTCCCAGAACCAGGTGTCACGAACCCCTCGATCTGCCTACCCCGAGACCGACGCCTTCCACCGCCCGTTCAAGGCATTTTCTCCTTTCCCACTGTCTCGGTCCCTTGTGTCTTCTCTGTTCTCTTTATACTCTCAGCATCTCACAAAGCACACCGGCTTCCGACGACGAAGAAACGACGCAGAAACAACTATTGTCATACGTGGTTCAAGAACAATTGTGAAATCGGCGGAAGAAGAGCAGGTTGAGTTGTGGCGGCGAGAGCTACGTCTAGTTGGGCAACCCAGTGAGGGAACCCGATCAGCACAATGGAGGCATCACAGATACTCGGTCGACAAATTAGTGACGGGACTGTTGGCAATGACAACGCCACCGGCGACGAGGTTGACAATGGGTATTGGTGGTATTCTCCTGTAGGTCCAACTTGTCGAGCGACCCTTCTTGCGTTGCTTTGGACTTGTAACTTGACCTCCATGGCAAACTTGAAATGTCTTGTTCCAAGGTTGACTCTTTTTGCTCACAGACAGCCGACGCCATCAAATGGGCCGTGGTTGCCGCGATACTCCTGGCCTTCTCTCTCTACTTCCTCGCAGGACACCTACATGCTCGGCGGAGGATGCAGAAGGGCTTGCCGCCTCTGGCTTATCATCGAGTAGGTTTTCTGGTTCTTTGATCTTCTCGAGCCTAGAACTCGACGGACTTGTGCATCCTATGTCCTAGGTGATAGACTGACGTGGGTTAAATACAGTGGCTCGTCTCCCGCCGTCAAAAGGCCGCCTTCTTGCAACAACACCCCCAATATGCAAATCAGTTCGCCTTCTACCGGGCACAGCAAGAGCGAGTAGGTCCGTATGGCGGCTATTCATATGCTCCCGGATCTGGGCAGGCATATCAGATGGGTGGGATGTACGGGCCACCACCGCCTGCATATCACGAACCAGAATACGTTCCAGCATACACCCCTCCGCAAGGAAATGGACCTAATAAAGTCGACCCGGATCAACGCTACAACCCTCCGAGTGAACCCCCTCCAGCTCGTGCCAGTGCAGCGGCGGAACCGACTCAACCTGAACCAGCAAGAATCGCACCTTAAGGAGGAAAATATGTGCTTTGAAACAACTCAAGTGGCTTCGCATCACTATCGGCCGAATTTTCGCGGTTGGCGCTCGGTCGGGACGGGGTGGTTGCCATTTATATCGTCATTTGTCTCCGCGAAGACGAGAGTTCAGCGGAAGATCCGCCTTTACGCTTGTGTATGATGGCTAAGCAACCACAACCTGCAACGCACTGCACAGTAGCATAATGAGCCTATGGGAATTCAACATCAACGGATGGAGTTAGGTTGCAGGCCGGACCACTCTGAATCGCCTGCCACCAAATGACATAAAATAGATCAATTGGTATCGTGCTGTTGTGCATGGCTTCAGGATCGGCATCCAACAGGAGCTGGCGTGACTTTTCAAACTCACCTTATGCACAGTTGAGCAATGCATTTTCCCGCTACAAGTGGCCAGAATGCAATACGCATAGCGCGTCCAGAAGGCGTGCGCTCAAACAATCAGAGAGACTTGGCATCTTTGATCGCGGACTCTATTCTATTTCCATTGCATCCAGATCGTCATCCACGTCTCCCTCCCCTTGAATGGCATTATCTGACATTGCATCATCCCACTCTACCCTCCCTTGGTTATGGAGTTGTAGAGCTCTGGCCTCCGCTTCTCGCCTCTCTTTTGCTCTTTGTTCCTCCACCGTCTTTTCCCTCGCCCTTCTTCTCGCCTCAATGATCGTCTTTCTGACCACATCCTCTTCCTCCGGCACGGATATGCTACTGGGATCTCTGTATAGTACCAGCGCTGTATTTAGGTTCTCGGGTGGCAGCCCCGCAGGTTGGGGAAGTCGATCAGGATTCTGCGACCGGAGCAGTTTCTGCGGCATCCTAGAGACCCTTTTGTCTATATCTGGGAGGAATAATGTGGCGTTATGGGCTGCTTCCTCGGCTTCGATTTGTGCAATCTCAGACTCGAGGTCATGGATGATTATCCTGTGAGGGGTATCGTCGACGGTCATGAAGTCGGCATCAGGGAGGGTAGGTGGCTTTATGGGTATTTGAGGAACGGGTGTAGAATGGGGTGGATGAGGCGGTCCGTTGTCATATTGAATGGACGTGGGAAGAGGTAGAGCGGGTCGAGCATCGGTATTGGTGATGTGTGGGCGGAACGAGACTGTAGAGGGGCTCGTGGGTGAACTGGATCGAAGCTGTTGAGCTTGGGAGGGCGGCGATGGCGCCACCGAAGGCGTGAATATGGAAGGTTGCGTATATTGGTGTGATACTGCATTGGTCTGGTTATTGGCCTGATTCAGGCGGAGTTTCTTGAAATGCGACGAGATGTTGGATTGAGACTCGAGCTCGTCTTCGGCCCTTCGCTTCCCATGGCTGAGCAGATTGCTGCGATGTTGATTTGCAAGCGAAGGGTGCCATTCTGCTGTGACAGGAGCAAAGTGAGCCATTAGTCGTAGAGACTTTGCTGGTCGTGGTCAGGATGCGGCGTAATACGAGTAGAGGTTCGATGTGAGGCTGCCTTAGTCTAAGGGAGGTTCTGGAGTCGAACACCGCCGCAGGTGCAGGCGGGAGGGAGGGCAAGGAGGGCTTTCTCCGAAAATTGGCCTTTCGCTTTGAATTTTCCCTTCCTTTCACTTCTTGCTCATTTCTCTCTGGTGCGGCAGACACAGCTCGCTTCGCGGTCTGGGTCGTAATTTGACATTGTACGTATGAAGCGTGAGGAAACACCTTGCGCAATATCAGAAAGAAGTCTCACGGGGAGGATAAAGGGGGATAGTCGGCGGCCTGGAAGGTGCGAGAACCAAGGAGGTGAAGGTGCCAGCAAGTGCCAGTGCCAGTGAGGTGAATGAATGCGGAGCCCAAGCGCGATTTGGAGAGCTGCCGCTGCCGCTGCGGGCTGCCACCAAGGAGCCAGTCCCGCCATTACCAGCACCACCTGCACCTGCGCTCTTCCTCGCCGCACCCCTCGATGCTCAAAAATTGCGGCGGGCTTGACTCACGACCCCAATACACAACTCACCACGAAATTTTCAACTTTCGCGTCACGACACGTTGCCAGGTGGGAACGACGTGGTTATCGAGGAGACAGCCTATCCGCACGGCCAGCATCGTTTCAGAATTCTTCTTCCCAGTGCGTTCCAACCGCTCTGCGACCGTCCACCCTGCGGCCGCACACGACCTCGAGAATGGCGTCCACCGCGCCCTCCACCACCCACGAGTGGACCGCTCCAAAGGTTCGAGAAACCTTTCTCAAGTACTTTGAAGAACGAGGCCATACATTCGGTGAGTTCAGCCTGTCCTTCCGTCTTTGCGACGCTTAATTACTGACTTTTTGCAACCCAGTGAGATCCTCCCCCGTTGTTCCTCTGTCGGATCCCACCCTTCTCTTTACAAATGCGGGCATGAACCAGTTCAAACCTATCTTCCTCGGCACAGTCGATCCCTCAAGCAAAGAAGGCCAGTATAAACGAGTGGTCAACTCGCAGAAATGCATACGTGCTGGCGGAAAGCACAACGACCTTGAAGATGTCGGCAAGGACAGCTATCACCATACCTTTTTTGAGATGTTAGGCAACTGGTCGTTTGGTGATTACTTCAAGAAGGAGGCCATCCTATTCTCTTGGGAGTTGCTGACCGAGGTATTTGGACTGGACCCGGATAGATTGTATGTCACCTACTTTGAAGGAAACGAAGCCGGCGGCCTGGAGCCCGATCTGGAGGCAAAGGAGATCTGGAAGAGTGTCGGGGTTCCTGAGGACCACATACTGCCTGGTAACATGAAGGACAACTTTTGGGAAATGGGCGATCAGGGACCGTGTGGCCCTTGCTCCGAAATCCACTATGATCGCATCGGTGGTCGCAACGCCGCCAGCCTCGTCAACCAGGATGACCCCAACGTGTTAGAAATCTGGAATAATGTGTTTATCCAATACAACCGAGAACCTGACAGGAGCTTACGGCCGCTACCGAACAAGCACGTCGATACGGGCATGGGCTTTGAACGACTGGTCAGTGTCTTGCAAGACAAGATGTCCAACTACGATACCGATGTCTTCACTCCGATATTTTCCCGAATTCAAGAAGTCACCGGTGCCAGACACTACTCGGGAAAGTTCGGCAAAGAGGATGTTGACGGGATCGACACTGCTTACAGAGTCGTGGCGGATCATGTACGGACATTGACTTTCGCCATCAGTGACGGCGGTATTCCCAACAATGAAGGAAGAGGATATGTTGTCCGACGAGTGCTGCGACGTGGTGCGCGATACGCTAGGAAATACTTCGATGTCGAAATTGGCGATTTCTTTTCCAAAATTGTGCCTACCCTGGTGGAACAGATGGGCGGCATGTTTAGGGAGATCGTCGCGAAAGAGGACGAGGTCAAGGAAATCCTTAACGAGGAAGAACTCTCTTTCGCAAAGACACTAGATCGCGGGGAGCGGCAATTCGAGGTGTATGCCCAGAAGAGTCAGGTTCAAGGGTTAAAGAAACTGCATGGTGCCGATGTCTGGCGACTATATGACACTTTTGGGTTCCCGGTCGATCTCACGCGGCTCATGGCTGAAGAAAGAAACCTTTCTATCGACGACAACGAGTTCGAGGCTGCCAGATTGGCTGCTAAAGAAGCCAGCAAGGGTCAGAAGAAAGCGGCAAGTGGTGTACTCAAGCTGGATGTGCATGATCTGGGTCAACTAGAGAAAATGCCCGGCGTGACGAAAACGGACGACAGTGCCAAATACGGCAGGCAGAACATCACCAGTACAGTCCAGGCGATATACCATGCGAAGAAGTTCCACACCGACACAAAGAACATTCCAGAGGATGATCAAATTGGCATTATTCTCGATCGAACATGTTTTTACGCGGAACAGGGTGGTCAGGAGTACGACACCGGTCGCATCGTCATTGATGGACAAGCGGAACTTGAAGTGGAAAATGTTCAGCTTTATGCCGGCTATGTGCTCCACACAGGTTACATGAAATACGGTCACTTCTCAGTAGGGGACAAGGCAATCTCCGAGTACGACGAACTGAGACGATGGCCCATACGGAACAACCACACTGGTACACACATTCTCAATTTCGCTCTGAGGGAGGTGCTGGGTGACGGTGTCGAACAGAAGGGCTCATTGGTTGCCCAGGAAAAGCTAAGATTCGATTTCAGCCACAAATCAGGTGTCTCAGACGCTGATCTGCAGAGGATTGAGGACATATCGACAGAGTATATCAGGCAGAATTGCCCAGTATACGCCAAGGACGTGCCTCTTGTCATTGCACGGGAGATTGCTGGCGTCAGAGCCGTGTTCGGCGAGACCTACCCTGATCCAGTTCGGGTCGTGTCGGTCGGCGTTGAAGTCGACGATATCCTGAAGAATGTCAAGGACGAGAGATGGAAAACGGTTAGCATCGAATTCTGCGGCGGCACGCATGTTAGAAGCACGGGCGACATCAAGGACCTCATCATCCTCGAAGAAGGCGGCATCGCCAAAGGCATCAGAAGAATCATCGCCGTCACTGGCGAGGACGCCCATGAAGTTCAACGCGTGGCGGAAGAGTTCTCTGCGAAGCTCGACAAGTTTGAGAAGATGCCATTCGGCTCGCCGAAGGAACAAGAAGCAAAGGCCATACAGCTTGAACTCAACAACTTGTCGATATCCGCGGTGAGAAAGTCACAATTCCGAGATCGCTTTGCCAAGATTACCAAGGAGATTCTCGAACAGCAGAAAAAGCTGCAGAAAGAGGAGACGAAGAAGGCCATCGACACGATAACTGAATATTTTGACAAGAATCCCAAGGCCCAAGGGGTGGTTCTGAGGTTACCGATCGGAGGGAATCCCAAGATTGTACCGGATGTGGTCAAGCATGTGCAGACCAAGATGAAGGACAAGAGTGTGTATATTATTGTCGCTGATGAGAAGGATCCTGAGGGCAAGGTTTACCATGGATGTTTTGTCGGTCAGGTAAGTTTTTTGGGGGGGCTCCGCGAAGAATGCGTGAATCAATTTGCTTACATGAATCCCTGCAGAATGGCCTCAAAGCCGGTATGAAATCTCCGGAGTGGTCGTCAACAGTATCGAGTCTTGTTGGCGGCAAAGCTGGTGGCAAGGAACCAGTTGCCATTGGCACAGGAACGGAACAGTCCAAAATTGACGAGGCATTGAAGGCTGCAACGGATTATTTGGAGAAATTCAAGCTATGATTGCATAGAGCGGAAATGCAATGGATGGATGGTAATTGAAGTTGGCAGGCTAGAGAACACCCTCGCCATTACACGAGAAGGGTCTGTCGCCACCGGCTGCGCAAGGATTGATTGAGACATGCCAAACACGAGTACGTGTAGCATCAGATAGATACCCCTGGGGCGCCTGGTGATAAAAGCAAAAAACACCTCGACCTCCATTGCTCTTGTCAGCCTCGCAGCCTTGTGAATGTGCAACACAGTCCAATCAGACGTCAAGACGGGCAATGCTCCCGTTGTCCAATGAGTGGCCAAGATGGCCAACCAAATTAGGAAATATGACGAATGAAGAACGAAATGACGTTGGCGTAGGGATGTGATGTCGACGTCGAATGTTAAAAGAGCACAACAGACACTTCGCTGCTTGCTTCCTCTGCATTTGCCAATCCGTATCAACCGTTTCACCTTGAGACGTATTCGCGTGAAAGTCAAGGTTCCCCAGCGAGAAATGCAAAGTCGGCCATTACGCCTCCCTCATCCTAGGCTAAGCGTCGATATCACGAGAGTCCGCATTACCGTTCCGTCTTCAGCTTCACCACCGGCTCTGCGACGGGCAAGAGCCCTTTCGACACAACTCGTACAATATCGACACCCCTCCTCTTCATCCCCGCGAAAACTCAGGAATCTTTCCGCTTCCGCTTACGGCACACTCGAGGGCCTCGACATCCACCCAGACCGCATCTGCAAGCAACAACATCCCGCAAGGACAACTGGCAGCAAAATGAGCTACACCATCCCAGGCGGATGCTACTGCGGCAGAATCCGCTATGAAATCACGCTAGACGACCCGGACAAGGAGGCCCGCACTTCCATCTGCCACTGCGGCAACTGCAAGAAGTTCACCGGCGGGAACTTTGGGATCACGAGCAAGATCCCGAGATCCAGCTTCCAGATAACTCAGGGTCATGATTCCGTCAAGGTCCACGAGGAGGGCAACGGGACGGGCACGATCTTGCATAGAGAGTTTTGTAAGGAATGTGGGAGCGGCCTTTTGGAGTATGGTGTGAGTAGTAGCTTACATGTCCTTACCACTCACGCATGCACCTCTCCATGGAATATACCCCCCAGCCACCACAGCTCTTTCGTCTCACTTTTCAGAACATTGTCAGCGGCGCTTCGATTAACGCTGAATACGACCAGGCAAATGCAGGAGATTTCGTCTACGTCTTTTACGGCACGCTCGACCATCCGACAGACCTGCCGCCGAAGGGCGAGTTTTTCACCAGTAGGCGGGATTCGTGGATGCCGGAGATCCCTGGTAAGTTTCCTTGCCGTTGAACTTACCACGATGGCCTATGCTCGGGTCCAGGAACTCGGGAAAGAACTGACACCGTGCGTGCGCAGGATTGTTCCAGAAGAAGAAAATCAAGGAGTAAACAGATCAGAGGGGCTACAGAGAAGCCGATCAGGAGGTATAGAGCGAGTTGATGTGAGATAGATTGTGCCGATACTAGTGCCTGCCACACTACTAGGCAGAGAGAGAAAAAATTGGGCCCCTTCAAAAAATGGAAGAAATTTCGAAAGCAGAGACCACCCAAGAAAGAGGAATAGTAAGCCGTGGAGATCCGTCATCGATAACAGTATCAGATTTTGTACAATACGGCGTATAGATAGTGGTAGTATCCAGTTATAGTATTAAGACACTATGGGTGACAATGGGTATACAAAATACCCTTCTTTGTCCTCCCCTTTTTCCAAACACGAGTTGAACAATCCTCAACTTTCCGCCGCAGTGATCCTCCAACGGCAATTTGCCTATAGAGTATTAACACAATAAACACCAGTACCTAACAGTCCTGGTAACCCCTTTCCCTAGAACACGTTCAATCCACCGTCTTTCACCATTTTACTCCAGACGAACCTCTTCGTCACTGTCTCTGTTAACATGACGAAGGTTCTCATCCACCCACTGATGCGCCTCTGACCTGGGGCCAAAACACCTCCGAGAACATGGACCGGTACTACAAGGCAAGTCGGCGAGGCCGTGGTGGACTATCGACATCTCGTGCCTGTGACGCGGGACCTGGTAGAACCGGCGGATCTGATACTCTGGCACCGTCGCAAAGTCATCCCAGCGTAGATGGACGGTAAGCGCAGCGTGGGGCAGACGGATGTGGTGTCTGGTGAAGGGTTTATCCTGCATTACCTCGAGGGACATGACGTATTCCCTGTTGGGTGCGTGTGGGTTGTCGGGTTCGGGGAGCGTGTCGGTAATGACGACGAGGCAGATGTATCGTGTATTGGCTGAATAGTTGAGAGAGGTGTTGTCCATTTCGGTTGTTGGTTCTTCGTGGGGGTCGCAGACAACCTCAACGTCCATTCTGCATGGTTCATCTTCGACTTCTTCGTCGGAGGAGCTGTCGACGCAGTCCAGGTCGAATGGTTCTTCGTCGGATATGTAACTGTTACTATCCGTTTGGTTGGACTCTCGAGGGACTCCGCCGGAGGGGAGGCACCACGGGACCCTAGACGAAGCTTCGAATTCTTCGTAAACGCCTGCTGGCAATTCGGAGAAGTTGACCTCTCGGAGATGGGGATCTGTGGTGATTTCACCACCTTCAGAATAAGAAATGCCCAAGGTAGCGAGGTACGCACCTGCAGAGGCCGGAGATATCATCTCTGGCACTAAGAGGTTTGACAAGGGGCAGGACCTGCGTTGAGATGGAGCGAGAGCATGTGATGAGTCGAAGTTGGCAGAATCCATCGGTTAGGTGGTTGTTGACCAGACTCGCGGTTGCTGTGTACAATCGAGATTTTATCCACGATAGGAAGGAGGCCAGACTTGGAAGTGCGTGGGTGAACTGGAAACCGTTCTGATGGCCTCTGCCTCGCTCTATATACTCTGGAGCCCAAGAAGCTTTTGCTCGCGGTGGATCCGCGACGAGGACCTACCTTGAGAGGACCTCTAGGCGATTGGTCGAGACAGATGGTTCATGCGAGCTTGTTAGAGCTTCTCGCACATAGACTTCGCAGCCTGGCTTCGAACCACAAGCCAACACTCGCTACATTATTCCCTCGCCTTGTGACTTTTGAATTGCAGAGTTTCTCTGGACGACCCGGGTACACGTGGAGGTAGACGCGGGCAATATTCATTCTCGACAGGTTCAACTGCTTGAACTGCCAACACTCGCAGTGCACTCGGTGTGGAACCGGGAATGGAAGGCGCCCCTTTGGTCGACAAGTTACCATCCTGTGGGAGCAGAATAACTAGCGAGACTATAGAGGAATGACAGGCATCGAGTAAACTTTAACAGCCTTCTTTCTGCCCCTGCCAAGAGCCATATCAGTCTTGGCACCATGAGGTAATTGGGACATTCAGCCTTGGCTGCCGAGGCACATCAGGCTGCATGCAATGTCTCGCCCGACAAATTCTGGGGAAAAGGAGGCCGAATAATATTAGTGATCCGTCTAAAGTCCTTGGGAACAACATGGCGTGCTCATCTTCTCAACCCCCCTCACATACGGCCATAACCATGTCACCTCCATGTGTATATGTATCTCTTCCCACCTGTTGAAATCCGGAAGGCTCGTATGTTTGGGAGTATAGGTGGTTAAAAAACAAACGCGAAGTTTCAAGATGAATCCCGACAACAAGGAGGTCTGCTTGATCATCGGTGCGTCACGGGGCATAGGCCGCCAGGTTGCCATTGACCTCGCGAAACACGGCTACTTCGGTGAGTTGCTATCTTTGGGGACCCCTGACCCATTCTCCTTCGAGATGTCACAGTAAAAACAGCATTGTAATCACCCATCGATCCGGCTTCGCCTAACGCTCTTCAGTCGTCGTCGCCGCCAAAACCACGTCCGACGCCAGCGCCATCCCAGCCTTGTTGTTCCCGCCGGACCCGAACTCTTCAGAGTCTACCATCAACACCGTCGCCCGCGAGATCACCGAGGCCGGCGGCTCCGCGCTCGCCTTGCCCGTGGACGTGCGCGACGTGGACAACGTCAAGGACCTGGTCGACGAAGTGGTCCGACGGCTGGGCCGACTGGACGTGCTGATCTACAACTCGGGCGCGATCTGGTGGTCGGCGGTGGAGACGACACCCGTGAAGCGGTTCATGCTGCTCCAGCAGGTCAATCCGCAGGGGCTGTACGCGGCCGTGTCGGCCGCGTTGCCGCATTTCGGAAAGCAGGGCTGGAAGGGACGCATCATTGTGGTGTCACCGCCCATATATTCGCGCTTCTTCCGTGGCAAGACCGCCTACGCGATTGGCAAGGTCGGCATGAGCGTCTTGACAAAGGGTCTTGCGATGGACTTCGTGAGGCAGGGTCGCAAGGACATGGCCATCACGAGCATCTGGCCTGCCGTGGTATGTTCCTGCTTTTGCATTTTGTCTACCACCCCAAGCCACGAGAGGAAAGCAAATGGAATTTAAGCTTCGACTGACTCGTGGCACGCGGTTTCCAGTCCATCGAATCGGCAGCGACCCAAGAATCGGTGAAACGCGACCCAGAGCTCCTCAAGGACTTGAGAAAGCCCGTAAGTTCTAGTTCCCACTCCCCCCTCCGTCACTCCCTCCTTAGTATTTACACTCACCTCCCCACCCGCCACAGACAATCTACTCAGACGCCATCCTCGCAATGCTCCAATCGCCCGCCGAGGAAGTCAACGGCCTGCTCGACCTGGACGAGGACTTCCTGCGCAAGAAGGGCGTGACGGACTTCTCGCGCTTCAGCCTCGTGCCGGATGCCGAGCGGCCGCCCCGCCGCATCATGCCCGCCCGCTTCCCTGTCTTGGAGGTCGCGGAGCAGGACGACGAGGGCCGGAGGGTCGATAGTGTTGTTTTGCGCCAGGGGAGGGAGAAGAGTGTCGCCGCTGGTGGCGGGAGTAAATTGTAGCATAGACTCGTGGCGTGCGTCCAGAAGTGGATTTGGATTTGCATGGTTGACGGTACGTGTCGGATCATATCATAGGCCCCGAGCCTCCAGGCATTGGGGAGGGAAGGGAAGGGATGTGCATGCGCGGGACGGGTGTGTGGGTGCGAAGGAAAGCAGCAAGCTGTCAGTACTCAGATATGCTCGACGACTGGAATACTCGGTGGATAATCAAAAAGTCAACTGCATCTTTTACCACATAGGTGGGAAGTAATAGATAGCAAGGAGGCAGCTACCTAGGTAAGCTAACCCGCCCAGCTCTAAACTCATACGACTTCCTATCCTACTCAGCAGCATCCACGAGCCTACTCACGTCCGTATGGTAGGCGCTCAACATCATGTCCCTGGCCTTCTCGAGGCTGAGCCCGTCGATCCGCCGCTGGATCTCCCTCTGGCTGCGTCGCACCTGTTCCGCCACGTCACTCCACTCCATCACCATCCTCTTCTCCTCAACAAGACGGGTACAGCTAGTAGCAACCAGCTTGCCTGCTCGCTTCCGCACCACGCCGTCGACGATGACGTGCTCGATGTCCGCGGCCCCGCTGAAGCGCACGATCGCCACGACGGGATCATATTCGGCCGCGCTCAACATGCCCACGCTGCGCTCTGCGTCGAAGATAAGCAGGTCGGCCTTCTTGCCCGGGCGGATGCTTCCGATCTCATGCTCGAGGCCGAGGCATCTCGCGCCCCGGATCGTGGCCAGGTTGAACACTTCCTCTGATGTGCCCGTGACGTTTCTGGACGGATACTTCCCTTCGGCGAGGATATGGGCGTTCTTCTCCACCCGGGTGAGCTGCAGCAGCATGCGCGCTTGCTCGGGGATGGAAGACGAGTCGTTGCTGTGGCAGTCGACGCCGAGAGAGACGTTCGCGGTTCGCGACTGCTTCAGCGCCGGGTCCAGCGCGACAGGGTAGGACATGCCCATTTGGGCCTCCGTACCCGGTGTACTTGAGATCGGGGTTCCGGTTGATGCGAGGATGGAGAGGTCCTCCTGCGGTAAACCGTTGCAGTGCGAGAGGAGCAGGAAAGGCATGGTAGGTGCTGTGTCCGTCGGTGGATAAGACGTGCGGAGGAGGCTGTACGATTGAAACTTAGGTATAGGTGATTGGAGACCTGGAGATCTGAAGTCAGCCACGGTTAACACGAAGGGGAGGAGGAGCTTTGAGTCAACGCATCAGAGAACATCTGTCTTCGATGATGCTCTCTCTGGTCAAAGTACAGGAAAGAAAGTGACGGCCACCAGCCATATCGCGGACTGGAAGTGGCAGGCCCGTGACATCCAGCCAAATTGGAAGCAGAGACTCACCCATAAAGGCATTGCAGCCAACATGAGTAGTCAGAAGTCTTAGTCCGCTTTCCCTCATCTTCCCGAAGATGCTCAGGATCATCTCTTGAGGAAGGAACCAGAAATCAAACCCCATGCCAATCTCCACCGTTGCGGCAGGTCGATTGTTATGTTTCTCGGCCAGCTCCGCCAGCTGCGAGAGTGCCCATTCTGGAAGGAGGTCTGGGTCCGGGATGCACTGAGATTGATCCCACTTGGACATGCGCATGGGAATGGAGTATCCGAAGATGGCGCGGATGCCTGAGTCCAGAGTTGCGTTGAGTGCCGAAGTGGCTGTCTCGCAGGGTAATGTACTCAGCCATCTTGCTCTCTGGGCAGAAGACCACGGCTAGGTTATGCACAGGACTCACTCACCATGGCCAGGTGTATAAGCGCAATGAGCATGGTCCAAGACAGTCGTGGTGCCTGCATGGATCGCCTCGAGACAACCTGACAATTGGCCCCAGTACATGTCCTCCGGAGTATATGCGTAGGACATCATATTGCCTGTAAATTTTCTAGCTCATCAGAAACCGCCGTACAAGACGACGGCCTTCGACCCGGACAAACGACAGAGTGCATGGATCCTACCAGAATACATGTACGCGACCAACCCCTGCTCGGCATGTCTTCCCTTCAGCTGAGTCTGCCAGAGATGATGATGCGTGTCCACGAAACCAGGGGAGATGATCTTCCCCTTACATTCTATCACTTCCGTGTCGCTGTTCGGAGGCGAGATGTCCTTCCCAATGTCAGCAATGACACCATCACGAACGAGAAGATCAGTGTCCCGGAGGGGAACGACACGGTCATATTCGTCATGTATGAGCACGGTGCCACCTTGTAGGAGGATTGACGATGAAGGACGCGTCGCGGACATTCTTAGCCTTTAGGTCCCGGTCTTAGGATGATGGAGGCTGTCAGTGAAGAGACGAGGTGCCGGTGAACTTATTTATAGACGGGGGAATCGGTCATTTTCATCGGACCAAATGCATTACACCCGTTTATATCCGTCTACTCTGTTATGCACTCGATGTTCCTCACCTGTGGTCTTCGCGGCAACGAATGGACGTTGCCAGATCGAGGTCCCCTTTCTTGTGAAGGTGGCGAAATAAAAAAATGTCTCCGCGTCGTCGGACGAACGTTCTCTCCATCTGCCTCTGCGATGTCAGCGAAAACTTTATTTCCTGGTCATGGTCGGTCGGTTCACTGTTATCCCAGCCCTTGAGGTTCCTACGAGACGAGGTCCGTAGAGGACGCAAAGCAGATGAACGCTGAGGCGTGATGAATGAACGTGATAGATGATGCTGTCTCCACGGCCTGCCCGGCAAGCATGGACTCGAGATGCTGCCACACCTGTATGTATGTATGTATGTATGTATGTATGTATGTATGTATGTATGTATATAAAGTCTCTGCCTCCGCCGGTAGAGGGAGGAGGCATTCACGGTCCAGGCATAGTTGGCAAGTACATACATAACAGGACAATCTGAGCCCCTCAATTTAATCTCCTTGTAGTTGATCTGTCCACAAAGTTGGTTCGCCCTGCGTTTGTATGAGCCTTCGCATGTGGTCGATTCTAGAAGAATCCCAGTCCACACTTAAAGCATTGCTTTTGACTACCGAGCATCGGTGATTCCAGCGATGTCTGACATCGATTTCTTGGTGTTTTCTTGAAGTCGACTGAGGACCTCACTTAGCATTTCGACACTAGTCTTATGTCAAGGAATACTTTGCTACTATTGAACTAGCCCCGGAATTCTGCCCATTCAGAAAACTATTCCTAACAGTAGATGAGTGGTGCTGATACCTAGAATCGAACAAGTAATTTGAAACCAGTTTCTCTAAGTCTTGCAACAAGGACAAAGGCCGTACCAACAATACAAAACACACCAGCAAAGATTTTAGGACCTATCCAACCAGAATGATCAAGAATTGCACCGTTGATTGGATTTGTGGTCAAACCAGCGATTGAAGCAACAAAAAAGACAATGCCTGAACGAAAACCAATCTCCGGTATTGGAGAGATTTGCATGACCATGGGAGTGATGAGAGAAGCGTAAGCGCCAGAGAAAAACCCAAAGAGAGCAGCGAATGCGATGAGGGTTGCGTTGGTGTTGTGAGGAAGCCAAAGAACCAGTATCCAGATGCCAGTCGCGGTGCAGACGAAGATGAAGATGTTGTATCGACCGAGTTTATCGCCGAGAAATCCAGATAGTAAACGACCGAACAATGAACCAGCATTGAGGATGGGTACCAAGTATTGAGCCAGGTCGGTACTCATACCAGCACTGAGTGCCTGAAGAGGAAGATAGTTGATGGGAATGTAGAAGCCAAAGCTGAATATGCAGAACCCTGTAAGCAAGAGGACGAACGGAATCTCGGTCAAGGGTTTGATCAATTCTGCTCCGGTGACTTTGTGAGGTCGAGGAGGATAATAAGGACGTATGGTGAGGTTGGCAATGATGAGCAGGAACAGGATGAGAAAAGCGCAGATGCGCATTGTCCAGCCGAATCCGACTTGAGGGATGAGTCTAGAAACCATGATGGGAAACACAACACCGCCGATACTGGAACCAGTAAAGGCAATTCCCAAAGCAGCTCCGCGTTTCCGATTGAACCAACCACCGGCACAGTTGACGGCTGGAAGAGTTAGTGGAGTACAGGACAGATACCGAGAGACATACATGGTTGGAAGATTGCTGATACACCAAGGGCAGAACAAACTCCTTGAGCAAGGAGGATCTGATAGTAATCGCTGCCCAGACTGGTCATCATGATACCAAAGACATGCAGAAAACTGCCACCGATGAGCAGCCAACGTGGGCCATAGTGATCGTACAGGGCACCGACAAAAGGACCCTGAGAGAAGTTAGCAAGCGCCATGACTGAGTGTGCCATCTGCGTGAGCCATATCTACATGTCTGTCACATCGATAGATGTCACGCATCGCGTCGACAGTTTATTGGCCGTGCCGAGACTCACGTAAAATATGCAACGTGTACTACGAGGATAGACGTACCATGCTCATCATTAAGAAAAATTGTAAGGATGGAATCCATGAAATGGTACTTGCAGAGTAACCTTGGAGCAAGGAATTCTGATAATACTCTTGAAAGACACCAACACCTAACCAAGTTAGTGATGCACCATGTAAAGAAGGGCAAACGTACTGCTTAGCCAACCAAAACTACAAAATGCAGTACACCAAAGTCCAAGGATGACACCCCATGCAACAAGGCCACCATCTGGAGCATCACTACCCCATTGAGGAGCAGGTTGTACAGCCTTCTTGGGATCAGGACCATTGGAATTGATATAGTCGGTGTCTCCATTCTGATCTTTCATCTGATCCATATCGGAAGTGCCTGTATATATTGACTGGGTTCCATCCAGTGAGGGATCCCGTTTGAGGTCCGACATTACGTCAGGTCGAGGAAACAGTATTGCAGGTTTTGCTGGAGCTGGACAAGCTTGTTGGAGATGGAAAGATTGCTGAAAGTGAAGTTTTCTAGAGTTGGAACTGGCTTGCCGTCTCTGAAGAACGTGCTGCAAAAGGAATATCAAACGGGATTCAAGTCATGTCGACGTCGCGACCATGCTGAGGTGCACATCAAAATTCGAAGCGCACCCCATTATATATACTCGACTCGGAGAGGTATGAGACCCGATGACCGAGAAGTGTCCATGTCCGAGGGAGTAAAATGAACACTGTTCATTCTTTGTTTGCTTGTCAACACAAAGGAGGTCGGTTGATTGTTGTCATGGAGCCCAAGGGGCTCGATCGTAAAAGAGCTGCAATTAAGGCCGAGCCGACCAGTGGGGGCTGTCCAAGATTCGGCGTCAAGAAATGTTCGGCGTTATTACTTACGCCCCGACGTTTCCTCCTTGTTTCGACTTCGCAAGTAACGACTGACCGTCTCGCTGTACGCACCGTGAGAGATGCTTGTCCAGGCGATGTAGCCTCGCGGTGTGGTGTGGCGGTTTCAGCGACGAATCCGCACAATTGCAGGACGATTCTGACCAGGCTGCAGACGATTGGTGACGACTGCAGACGATTCAAACGACAACCTAGTGACAAGCCGGGGATTCGCGACCGACTCAAAATGTCGTCAGTACTAGGCATTACAACTCCTAGCAATGCATCAAGATCTGAAAGCGAAGGGGAAAGGGAAACATCAACCAACCGATCCAATCCAAGATCATGTTACGATTGTCATCGTAGAAAGGTCCGATGTGATAAAAAAGAACCATGCTCACCATGTCGAAGACTTGGTAAAGCTTGCAGTTATCCGCCCTTGGGACCAAGAATAAGAAGAACCAAAAAAGCCATCATGACAGATGTGGCAACACGCCTTGCAAGACTTGAAAAGTCACTTGCTCAAGCACAACAGCAACAACCAACACCGGAAATAACAGAACCAAATCGAAAACCATCACGATCCAACTTCAATGGTCGATCAAGAGAAGACATTCTTGTGCAAAAAGGCTCATCAAGTCAATACTTCAACGAAGTCTTCTTGTCACGCGTTATCGAAGAGGTAAGCGGTGAGAGATTTGCATGTAACATTCAAGTCTGACTGGCACAGGAACACAATGTCGAATCAGCCTTGATGACACCTCCTATGGAATCACCTCATCCAGCCAGATCTCTCTCAATCAATGCCCTGGGAATCCTTTCATCACCTTCACCATCGGCACTACCATCTCACTATCATCCACCCAAGCAGACGGCCGTGAAGCTGTGGACAATATACATAAACAATGTGGAGGGTTGCTCAGGCTTGAAGCTCCTCCACATTCCAACCGACGAGATCAAAATGTATTCAATCGTCGATGACCCGGCTACGGCATCGCTAGATGATCTGGCATTGAACTTTGCCATCTACTTTGCGGCCATATCTACGCTTGACGATGACGAAGCTCAAGTTACCCTGGGACAAGACAAACAATCACTTCTACTTCGATTCAAAATTGGAGTAGAGCAATCCTTCGCTCATGGAGACTTTTTGAATTCTCCAACCGTGACTGGACTTCAGGCTTTGGCAATCTACCTGGTAAGCTGCCTGTTAACTTTGGTGCCTTGCCACTGCTGATGACAAACTCTGCAGTCTGCCCTTCGAGTACACAATTGTGGAAAAGGAATATGGATCTTGGACGGCCTTGCAATCCGGGTAGCACATGCACTGGGATTACACCGCGACGGTAAAGGATTGGGTCTTTCACCATTTCAATCAGAAATACGCCGACGACTTTGGTGGCACTTACTCAGTCGAGATATTCGAGCAGGAGAGGATTATGGTCTGGAAAACACGAGCAGCCTGTTACTGACGTCGGACGTCGGACTTCCCGCAAATATCGATGACACAGACATTTCTCCGGTTATGCAACAACCTCCCGAACCCAAGGTGGGATGGACGGCAATGACCTTCTCATTAATCAACATTGACCTTGCCAAGACCGTGCAGAAATTATCAACACTTGCAGCATCATCATCACCATCATCACCTCCCCGTGAAGAGATCAGGGCACAAATCATGAAGGAATGCAAGATACGCATGGAGAATTGGCTATCGTACTGCAATCTCGTCATACCTCAACATCGTTTGGCCCTGTTTTGTTCTCGGTTTGCGTTTCGGAAACTTGATTTTACAACGAGGCTGCAGTGGGATCTGCTGCGAAATACTGATCCTCGAGCCAACTTTGCGACGGAAGCAAACCTGGTAGAAGCACTGGATCTCATCTTTCCCAGGATCAACGATGACGATCTGTTGAAGCAATACGCATGGGCCGGAAAGGTTTATCCACAGTATCATGTCACGATGTATGTGCTGTGGCATCTTTGTGTTCAACCCGAAGGCCCCAACGCGGACCGAGCATGGCAGGCGATAGAAAGATCATTCTCTGACGGCATGAGGGACGACTCTGCAACCCGGCTTGGTTCGAAATCATCAGTGTTGGCGGCTCTCAGGGCAAAGGCCATGCTAATAAGGCAAAGGATACGAGAACGTAATGCAGGAGTGAGCACCGGAGAACATCCATCGGCGGTCGCCGAGGACCAATTCCTGGATGACGGCCGATTTAGGGACGGCGGATTCGACGGCGACGGGTTTCCTGCACAACTACTTGGAGATGCCGGCGTTGATGAGCTTGGAGTTGATCGCAGCGAAGATGGATGGTTAAACTGGGGGGCACTGGTCCAGAGCTTTCAGCTGAACAGCCCAGAGACCTTCTAGAGATAGGTTCAGCAGCGTCGACGGAAGGATTTGCCACTACCGCAACATCTGCGGACGCGTGGAGACTGGACATCGCCAATAGCACAGAGCAGACAAACCCGCGCCATCCGAAGACCGCTGCAAGCATGAATGGCACAGGTTGGAATACGAGACCAAGGAGCCAGGCGTCGATAACGGCACCGGTCTGAGCTACAACCCAGGCATGAGCCGATGATGAAAACACCACGAGCGGTCTTGCCCAAGACGCCATGTACGTTGCTGAATCCACCGCATGGCAGTCATTTCCACCTCTAGCGGGCACATTATGCCGGCGGGATAATCGTCATAGTTGAGTTCCTTCTGAACATTTTCGTGGGAGAGAAATCCGGTGAATCATCGGCGTAGTGCGGCCGAGATCAGGTTGCGTGAGATTGTCATGCATGCTGGATTCTCTACCTGGCTAACTATCTGAAGGGGAGAGAGAGAGGTCTCGACGCGTGCTAAATAGCCTTCGGCTGCCAGGCCCGCGGGACTCGCGTCAGGGCTATGGAGGAAGGGGGAGCCCTGACAGGGATCGAGACCACCACAGCAGCCTGGCGGTTTAGCACACCAAAACCAACTGTGACGTACTCCGGAGTACAGCAGGCCTAGCATGTGGGAATTGTTCGCTATAGAGAGTTTCAAGCATAACTGAAAGCAAGATTATGGTTAGAGGGCAGGGCTGTGGCGATCGACAAACTACGTGAAGTGGTCGATACGGCAGGCCAAACCACCCCACAATAATTAAGGGATGGCACCACTGCCGCTTTTAGAGAAGTAGGGTTAAGTATCGCTAACTCTGGAAGGTTGAGCGGGGCCGTGGTTATATTAGTAGGTTAATTAAGGTGAAAGCATGACTGGAAGACGAGAGCAGTGGTCCATGGTCTAGATACACTCACTGCATTACCATGTAAGTGTGTGGACGGACAGTCCAGTGTCCACCGTCGCCAATATAATACTGTATGCCCTTCACATACATTCCCAATGTGGCATGTATATTCCCCATCCATACATATCTTTTTGGGGGGTTTAAACCCACCCATTCTCCTTTCAGTCATTGATTCGTTCATTTGCTCTCTGGCCTATAGAAATCACCCATTCCTACGCGACGTCGCATCGCTCCCAAAAGTTGTAAGCAGGCAAAGCGAGCACGACAAGCCCTCAAGCCACAGCACCACTACCTACCACGACGGCTTACCGGTGGTAGGTGCAGGGTGCAGCCTCGCCTAACGGCATCGAACGGCCAAAACGAGACATAGCTTCGTCTCCTCCTCTACCGCTTTTCCAAGCCGCTTCCTCAACCAATACTTATTAGTACCTACCTACTTACAGTACCTTCAACGCGTACCCAACCAATCCCTAGTAGCTAATAACCCTAGCTATTAGTGCCTGCTCGCCCTACGACTGTATCTAGTCCGTACAAGGCAAGTGATCTCACTCCTCCAGGATCGGCTATGCAATGTAATGCACCTCTGGGCGACTCTGCCTCGTGTCTGCTACTTAGTCAACGCGCTCGGTATAAATAATCACAAGTAAGGCGGCACCACCACCACCGCCGCCCGGGAGGGAAGGATGTGTGTACTTCTGTGCGCATGTAGGGCGGGCGGTGAACGAGGAGGGTATCCATGCATGCATGCCCCGTCGATCCCGCATGCACTCTTAGGAGCGACCGCACGATCTTCCATGATCCCTGCTCTGCTCTGCTCTGCTCTTCTCTGATGGGCCTGGCCTGGCCTGACAGGAACGGGTACCCTCCCCCTCCCCTCTCTCGTGCGCGTCTCTCTCCCTTGGACGTACAGTACACTAGAACAAGCAACGAACTGAGTGCTGACTACAGCCTATCTCCGACCCCTTCCCCCTTCCCCCTTCCCCCTTTCCCGTAGGCCCCTAGGCCCTTCCTTCCCTCGGCTTCACAGACAAAACTCCCTTGTTACGTACTTCGGCGCTGTCCGCCCACCTCTGCGAGTCAGCCTCGTTCACTGGTCTGAGTTAGTCACAAAGCATTCATCCATCCCGATGGAGCGAAATCTTTAAGGGAGTCCAGCAGGGGAGTCGCAGGGATTGCAGGCCCGCGATCCTCCTTTCGCTGTAGGAGTTGGTACAAGTCCATGAATGGGACCTTCCCCCGTTTATCACACCTTGTTGGCAAACAGTTGCTGCGCTGTAGACTGTACAAGATGGGCGTCTGGGCATGGATGCTGAGAAAAGACAGCGAAAAACAGGACAAATCCCACAATCAGGTTCAATCGCCTAGCTTTCGGCCTTTGATCTACATCCCCTGTCCACTTGTCGTCGTCCCTTCCACTAATGCAACAAACATCTGGGATCCTGGACCTGGTGTCATTGATACTAGCGTTGTTTCGTGACCGGTTCGTGCGTAACTCATCGCTGCTCCCATGGCAACGTGTCAGGCGTCCCACCGAAACCCCAAGCCAAAAGACCATTCGGGAGAAAAGCCACTATGCCACTCTGAGCAACACCTCGACCTGATTCGGATTGTCTCCGACAAAAAGAATCTGCGCCTTGCCATGTCGCGTTCCGTGGGCTATGCCATGAGGTGATTTTGCCCTCCTCGAGGTCGTCTGATACTCCGTCGGCAGTGGTAAGTGTCGAGTTTGACGGGCGGCGAAATTGCGCCTCAGGGTTTGTGTCTCTCCTGAAGTTGGGCTGTCGGGTCGTTTCAATTGCTCAATTCGCCCTCCTCCGCTTACGTGACTGAGCCTATCCGCCTTTGCGTTGAGAGTAGGTTGATCCTTCGAAATCGGTTCCCATGATGTCTCTGCCTCCGGGTCCTGTAAAGCCCGCGTCGCCTTCATCCCACATACCATCCCCTTGACCCAAACCTCCTGTCTTCTTCTTCTGGTGCGGCCTGACCTCTAGCCCAGCATTGATGACTTGCAACCGAATCAATTTCATACGGGCCTCACGGACAAATGAGTCCACCATGGCTAGCGCAGCTTGCTGGGCCTCAGCACGAGGATTGTGTTCGACAGCTTCCAGGACTCCATGTTCCATGTCGATTCGGGCACCGAGTCGGCCGTCTTGGATCAGAGAAACAATCTCATTGAGGAAGTCTTGTCCTGCTGTGGCTGACCCCGCCGCCTTATTCGGCATTGCAGCGATCCCAAACATCCGCTCCATGCTATCCAAGGTGACTTTGCTGAAAGGCTGAAAGTATTGAATGATGCTTTTCGTCCGGATTTTCTTGTAAATGTCTGAGACGAGAGGTTGGAGATAGATGTCCAGGAGATAATCCGCGCGGTAAGATTCGAGTATCTCCAAACATTGGCTGTACTTGCTTGCACAAAAGAAGCTGATGGCCCGGCGGATGTGAGGCTCCAGTTCGAGGAAATTGCGAAAATTGCTGTTTTCCAATACTTTGGTCTGCAGATCCGAACGCGACATAGACGCCAACGCACAGAGGCCACCGTAGACGGCGACATCGTTGCTCGTAAGCACATCACTGTAGCTCTCTCCCAAGCTGGGGTCAGTATTGAGGAAGCTTGTGGCGGCTTCTCGGTACTCAAAATTGGACATCTGCTGAAGACCCAAGGCTGCTTGTATTTTTGGTTGGTTCCTAGCCATGTCCTCTGGCTTGAGTTGAATGTTCTTAACCTTGAGTACCTGAGACTGGACAGCAAGCCAATTTCGCTGCTCGATCGCGACGGCAATGATTCGGAATGCGGTGGATGTGATATGAGCAGTGGTGGTGCAGTAGTCTCGCATCCGGGAATAGGCTTTGACTGCATTGTTCAAATCCCCAATGGTGTAGTAATGGGTACCCAGATCTTCATTTCCCATCTAGGGGGAAAAAGTTAGTGGGCCTTCCTGTTGTTCGGCATTTTTTACACCCAACTCACTCGGATGCTCTCCTTGATCAGGTTATTCTTATATCCTTTCAATTCATTTTCCAAGCGGGCGGTTTCGGCATTGTTCTTCTTTTCTTGCTGAGAGGCCCATACTGGGTCCAGCAAGTTGTCGAGATTCTTACTCTTTGACACCCGCTGCAGCAGTGCCACAGCTTCGACATAGTTCCGGACATCACTGCCTTTCTTCGCCTCGAGCAGGGCCATTCGGGCGGCCTCCTCTGCCAGGACTGTAGAACATGACGCGATCAGGTGAAGTCGCCGAAACACGGTTCGACCTGTGAGACCGGAGATCAGGACAGCTCAAGGTAGGTTGTCAGAGTTCAACATGACAGACCTCTGTAGTTTGAGATGTACGCGGCAAGATCGAATTTTGGAGTTTCTATGATCCAAGTTGTTAGTTCGACCCCAGGCATATGAAGAAAAGACCTTGGCATACCGTGGACCTCGACGCCATAATTGTACAGGTCGGGCTGCGGCACCTCGTTCGCCATATCGTGGGTGGGTGCCGCGCTTGCGGCCGCGGCCAAAGGTTTGCTTCAGCTACAGCTTCGATTTTTGGCTTCGATGTGACGTTTCGATAATGGCAAGCAAGAAGATGCAAGGATAGTAAGATCGCATGTAAGGATGTTTCGGCACCTATCGTCCTTTAAATTAAAGTCACTTGCTGAAGACAAAGTGATGTTAGGCGCACTCTGCCTCCACCATGTCGATGACGGAAAGCTTGGCGCGGCATGCGGTGTCAACTACTCAGTGCACAAGTACTCAGTATGAATACTCCGTAGCCCGTTAACCCCTAGGCGAAGTTACTGCCCGCAATGCCTGGCGCTTGAGGTCACCAGGTTGGCCCCCGGCGCCCCCCAGACTACCAACCTTGGAGGTTATGAGGGGCACCTCAGAGGCCCCCTCCAGCAAGAGCCTCACTCTCTCGCGTGGCTCCCGGAACACTCTCGACACAATACTTGAAATGAATCAAATGTTTGATCAATAAAATCTCCATTGCAATTCTGTAGCGCTCAGCGCTTCCTGGTTTGCCTTTTCAAGGTATCATCTATCTTACACAAGTTTTTCGTCAACCTAAGAAGCTTCAAGTGACGGGTATCTCTTGCCGAGTTCAAGAGTTTCTCCTCCACATATCATCAAAAGTCATTCCAAATACCCACAAAGTGGTTTCCCAATATCCCCATGTATTCATCAGAAGCATAGCCAACTTTTTGGGGGCTGCTTCAACCTGGCCAGAGAAATTTCATGTCCACATTTGCATTGCTGCATGCTCGTTGCGAGCTTCATTGATCTCGAAAAGACATTATGAAGGTAAAAAACAAAAACAGGAATCTCCTCCTAGGCCAAGGACCGACGAGTCGAGATCACTTTCTCCATATCCGAATCGCTCAAAACACGCCATTAATACAGGAAAAAGGTTCAACAGCAAACGAATCAGGCCATGAGGGTATTGAGGTCGAAACCTTGGCCACCATCCTCTGGTGTCGGAATCCACGGACCCTTCTCTTCGGCTGTGGCGTTGTGCAAAGCCTCAGCTCGTTTGAGGGTCTCGATGTCGAGGTCGGTGACATAGCTCTTGCAATCGGCCAGCGGCAGCCGAACCTCAAATTCATTGTGCAGCATCATGTCGTCTTTCCATAGGCGCCGCGGGCCGTCATAAACGCAAAGCACGCGCTTCTTCATGCGCATCTTCTCAGCGGACATGCCCCAGGACGGCGGATAGTGCTTTCTCTTCTTGCGGCCTTTGCCGGCGAGAGCCACTCCGCCTTTGGACCATGTCATGCCTTTCTTCGAAGACTTGCCAGGTTTGGAGACACCGCCCCCGATGATTGCTCGTGCCGATGCAGGGGCTTTGTGGGATTTGAGTGCGCCTTTGCCAGATCGGCTATTGAATGACGGGTCATCGTCCTCATCATCGTCTTCGTCGTCTTCGTCGTCCTCGTCATCTTCATCGTCAAAGCTGGTGGGAGCATCCTCCGTCTTGATCATGTGGCGATCCAGAGTTTCTTGGACGTCCTTGTCGTTGCTAATTTGTGAGAGATGCTGGACATTTACAGCCTCTGAGGGCTCCTCTTGTTGCACCACACGCAGCACGCAGTCATCAAGATGCTCGTAAAAGTCTTGAGCGTTGTTGAATGTTGCCGAACAGGTGGAGCACTTGCCTGTGGCATCTTGGCAGTAGCTGGAGAGCTTTCGGTTGTTCGCCGATGGGCTGCGCTTTCGGCTGTTGGGTGGTGTCTGCTCGACGCCGTGGACCGAAGTCAAGTGTCGCTTAAAGACGTCGGCTCGGTTAAAGCTCTTCTCGGCCGGAGAGCCTGAACCTGGGCAAAATCCGCAGACCATGGTACCTTTGTAATGGGTCAAGGTGTGCCGATTCTTGTCGTACTTGCGTGCGAATCCTTTCTGATTGTATTCGCAGGTCAAGATAGGACACTTCTCCGGCCGTTCGGCTTGGTGTGTCAACATATGAGCCTTCAAGTCCTTGAAGACTTTTCCGCATTCAGGATGTGGGCATCGGCCCTTGTCTCGGCCATCATCATCGATTTCCGAGGCCGGGCTTGGATGTGAAACAGCAGACACGTAGGACGCGAGGGAAGGTCGTCGGCTCATATAGTGCTGCTGTTGATAGTAGCCGGTGTTTGTGATGGGCTCAGAGAATTGAGTAGCAGGATAAACGCCGTATGGTTGAGGTGATGGAGCCGGTGAGCCAGAGGGAGATGTGGTGGTGAAGGAGTGCAGGCTGGGTGCGAAGACCCCATGGTCAGCAAAGACCGCGTCGCCATATGGTCTGGAAGCGTGGATCAAGGACGGATCTGCAGACAAGCCTCGTCAGTATGGTTTTTTCCCTTGAGCATCGTAACAGCGATGTGTGCGGTCATGAAGGGAAGCCACCGGGAAAAGAGGAACAAGGCAACTGAACAAGGACATGAGAAAAATGGGCAAGGAAAGACAGGCGGAAGAGACGAACAGGATGTTTCCAGCGGGGCCATGAAATTACCGCTGCTCTGGGCAAAGAAATGAGACTGAAAACGGCTGGCGTGATGCTGTTGTTGTTGCTGCGGTGCGGCAGGCGCGTCATGGGGGAGCACATGAGGGTGAAAAGAGGGAGCTGTCTGCGAGCGCGACGTTGGGGGAAAGCTTCTCGCCTTCACTGGCGAAATAGCAAAAAACTGTCTGGGACATGCTGAAGCAGGTGTGGTGGGCGATTTGAAGGTTGGCGTTCCCCGAGTTTGCTCGGTTGCAGGGGACAGGGTAGCAGTGGAAAACACCGATTGGGAAGCGACAGAAGGCGCAGTGGACACGCCTCGATCAAAGAAAGTACTGATGGACAGTGACTCGGGCGAAGCAGGAATAGATGATGAAAGTGGCTGCCCGGATTGGGCTTGGAGAATGTCACCGGTCTCTGGTCGCGGATGAGAAGAGGAAAGATCTGCACACTCACCCACAAAACTGTCGGGGAGCTTTTCGTGGCTCCCCAATGACAGCTCGGCTTCCATGGAAGTTCCCAGGACATCTTGCGAAAAGGCCTCGTGATTGACGATAGCAGGCATGACGCCCAATCCAAAGGAAGAAACCGTGCGGTCAATTCCATCTTGACATGGGATGGCGTGGGACGGGCCCGAGTATGGAGAACCGACCGTCGAGGACGAGGCGCTGGGGATTGATGGTGCCGAACCCGAAGAAATCAGAGCGGGCGGTAGATCCTGAAATGGCGGCATCTCTTGCTTGAGGGCTTGCATGGGAGCCGTCGCAAACATGGACGGGTTGTCAAAGAACGAGTATGGGAGAGGGTGGAAGTTGATCATGGGTTCTGTCGAGTCGTAGGTATCCATGGTCAGGCTGGGGAAGGGCGCTTGAATGCTCTGCTCGAAGTCGTACGCTGGGTCAAACTGTTGACGACGAGAATGCTCGAGAGCGAGCATTGTATAGGATGGGGGAAGGGGGGACTGTGGTCAGCGCGCCTGCATGAGCTGGAGAAGACGAGAAATATGTCCTTGGTCGATAACTCTGAGGCTTATGGAGGATCTCGTTAGGAATGCGCAAGCAGGGGCCGAAGAAGGCGTGTTAATGGGAGTGTTCTAGGTCCTTTGAATTGTGAGGCTCCGGAAGCGATATCGATAAAGCGCCGGCGAATACGAATTTTCAAGGCCTAGATGCTCCTGGGGTCGGGAGGGCGTTTTTCTTCTCTCTGCCTTTCTGACAAACAAAGAGCGAGTTGGTGAGGCTTGCTGGGAGAGTGCCGATCAATACTGGAAGGAGTAAAGACGGGGGTTGCGGGAAGGGGGGGAAGGGACCGAGCGGGCGCGTTCGAGGGTTCTCGGCTTGGATGGTTGGTGTTTGGTGTTTGGTGTTGCCTCAGGCAGATTGAGACTTGCACCGACGACGAGGTGTCCGAAGGTCTCAAGGCAACGAACGAAGGGAGAGGGTGAGGGAGGAATTTTTGTGCAAGTTGATCTCAGGCTGGAAGATGGGGGGCGAAATCGTGAGATATAGTCGTTTGGAATATCTGTACAAGCATGATGAACTAGCTTAGGGAACAAGAAGGGTCTTACCGAAAGCAGGGTCCCTGTCGCTTTCAGATGAGCCAAAGTCTCTCAAAGATCAGTTTCTGGACGGTTAGCCCTATGGCTTGGGCATGGACCGGGGCCCGAGCAGGGAGGGGATTATGGGGACCAGGGCCTCACCGTGAGTCCGTGACGCTTCGGAGGCTAAAGACACAGGGGTGTCGCGGTGTGGCAGAGATGGGTGGATGGGGTGGATGGGTGGCTGTAACACCAAATACACCCAGGAGAGAGTGTCACGCTAGCAAGCTAATGCATGTGCTAGTAAGCTAGCTTTCGGGGAGGCCTAAGCAGGAAGAAGCAGCAGGATGGCACATGAAGCAGAAAGGTCCGCACGGGTCCCGTCAAGACTTGCTCAGAGAGAGGCATGATTGTTTGACAGATTGGCAAATGGGGCTATCCGGATGGGGATGAGAGTTGAATGATGATGCAAGAATAGGAGAGTAAAGCGATCATGTGTCTGTCAGCGAGGCGAGTGAATGAGAGAGTTGAGTGCAAGGAAGTAACATTCATCAGGCCGGAAGTTTGTGTTTTTCCGGCTCCCGGCCCTTTCTCTTCTCTCTCATTCTTCGCTGCTTCGCTGCCTCGTACGTCGCTTTTGGGGGCTCAGTGCAAAAGTACCCATGGTCCCATTGGCCGGCTACCTATTTTGGTGAAAGAAGGGTCACAGTTTGGAGTAGCAGTACTTGTTACATCAGGACTCGGCACAGTAATAGGTAGAATCTCAGATTCTTAGATTCTGACCAGAGGGTACCCTGTTCTTTGGTAGCAATCGTTAGCACCAGAGGGGTACTGGCTATAGGTAGACCAATGCCCCCCAAGCCCAAGCCCCTCTCTCGTGTCGTCTTTTTTCGTTGTTGGCGGGACTGAGTTCCCGTCAATCCCGTCAAATTGTCAGTCAGTGGTGACGGCACACCCAGGGCTGTGATACAAAGTCAAAAGGGAGGCCACAGGAGCCCAAGGGTGCCAGAGGGTAGGGATTAGGCTGGAGATGCTGGATTGGGAAGGAGTGGATTCCTCATGAACCCCAGACCCGAGCCATGTGATTGAGCACAGGCTGCTTGGCTCGGCCGCTTTGAGCAATGAGTCGCCAAACAGATGAACAGAGCCAGACAAGAAGGAAAGCGCAGACGCAAGAGTGGGGAGGGACTTTTGCACTAAGCGGCGCTGGCCCTTGCTGGGCCCCTCACTGCAATCCCTGAACGCTTTCTCTGCCAGGCCATAGCGTGGTAATTTACACCGTAATACCGAGTCGACTAGGCGACCCCGATGCGATTGGCGCCATCGTGCAGATGCGGTCTGCTGGGCCCGTGCGAAACGTGGTCTGCAAGCGTGCCCCCACCAGTCCCAACCGATCTGAGATTCTTCATTGGCTGTAGTGGCTCGGAGTGCCCAGCCCGAGCCCTTTGGCAATGGCGCAGCGTCCTTTTAGTGGCGCTGCAGTCTCCTGTGACTGGCCATCTGAAGCCTGAGCCACATCTGCTGCTATTTATTCACCGCCCCGAGGGGAAGAGTCGCAAGGACTTGTTAACTCGCGGCCGTGAGGCTGTGGCGGCTTGATACATGCTGCACAACATCTGGCTTGGTCACCGACTTCTGGCGAGGCGTTGCTGTAACGCTCCTGGATCTCTTTCATCATTTGACGCGAATGCTAAAGTCATTCGTCGAGTGACCGTGGTGACTGCTCCGGCCGCCCAAACTACCAATTCTATTCCTCCATCTGCTACACACCGTCGCCCGGGCCCCCCTTGTTCGTTTCCTGGTGGTTCAGGATGACGGCATGTACTTGGTATGGTACCTGAACCAGAGACACGAGGCAGACACACTCTCGTGATTGCATGTGCGATTCAAATTTTGACATGCCCCTCTTCCATGAGAAAAAAACACGAGTGATGGACCGACCGGTGGGGGTCATCAGGTCCCTTAGTCAGACAGGTAAGTATTACATGTTCGAGTAAGAGCAAGAGCAAGAGCTACAGACGACTCGGGACATTGATTCAACTATTCTCGCGACGTGTAGAAACAAATTTCGAGTTTCAAGAACGGCTAATGATTACCTAGCTGTCGCCCAACTATTGCTTGGGGGTGGGCTCGAAACCTCCTAGGCGCGGGCGTGGGCTGGGCTTGGGCTTGGGATAGTGGATTGCAATTGCTGGCGGTTTGGAGCCGCCTCGAAACCAAACCAAGCCCCCCCGCATCCCGAGAACGAGGAAAGAGGCAAACAAGAGGACAGACTCCTGGCTTCGTAAAGGTCATCGGCGACTCGTCAAAAGGACAATCCTCCCCTTCGGTGATCCTCGTCAAAGCTCATTGTCCCTTTCGACCCTCGCTTGCAATTTTCTGGCCTATGCGGAGGGCCTCTTGCTCCCTGCATTGCTGTTACCGCCCATCCATCACCCGCAATCGACGACATTCTCCCCTTTTACTCATACATATTACAGATCAATGACTCGAAAACATCTGGGTAATTTGCCCAATATCCACCAGGTTGCACCCTGCACTCAGACGGGTAACTGAACCATGCATGTTTTGTATCATCTCCTTTTTTTTTTCGGTTCCTTTGCTGACTGTCCGGCTGCGTGCTGTGTTTACCACCACCCACCCGTGTTGCCGATGCTGGCCCCCAAATCTCTCTCTGTCTTCCTCGTGAGTTTGAGGCCTTTCGACGATGAACCCCCCCTGATAGGGCTGAAGATTCTGAATAATAATCGCCCCCCACCCAGCTTTAAGTGGCTTTCTTTGGTGACGATGGCTTTCTGCTTACATATCATCTGAAGTACTGAGTACAGTGTTTCCGTCCGGGTCCTCACGTCCATACTCGGTGCTTGGAGAGTCCCTTGGCTCTCGCGACTCTCCGTAGGTAAGGGGTCCGGAGGAGTTACTATGGATATCCATCCCACCCATTGCCAGTGCACATGCCACAGCCTAAATATTTGTATGGGCGCGCCGAATTTCCTTTCCCAGCGACAGCAGCAGCGTCACCAGCACCAAAGAAGAATTAAACCTTTGGCATCCCTCCCCTCGCCGTCCCCCTCGTCGCCCTCCCACCCATCCAATGCAGTCACTCCATCCCTGCAACTTTCCCGGAAGCCGCAGGCCTGCAGCTATGGCCCTGGCCATGATCGGTTGGGTTGCGTCTTTCCAGCGCGGCCGCCGCCCAATCCGCGCCCGTGGCCTCAACTTTGAGTACCTCGTAGTCGGTTCTAGCCCATGCACCCCTCTTCGCCAGCCAAAAAGAAAAGATGTTCTGGGCATCGTCTGGCATACAACATTGACCGTGATGCTGGCGAGCGGTCTGTCGTTGCCCTTGCTACTGCCCGCCCCACTGTTTTTCGTCAATCTCTGCCCCCTCATTGCTCCCATGTCGTCTGTATCGATGTGCCAGACCGCCTCCCCTTGCCTTGCCTTGCCTTGCCTTCCCGGTTACAATCCAGCAAACTCTTCTAGTGCGCCAGATAGATACCCATTCATACATTGCACGCGGGAAGGTGTTTTTCCCTTTCCCTATCGTATTTTCCCCAGCCTTGGGGAGGATCCGCCGCAATCCGAGAGCCTTTTCCCACCCCCCAAAACCCTATGCAAGCTTGTACCGTTATTTCCTACCACTGCTACATCTACTACTAGTCTTGCGGCACGCAACTAACAAAGGGGGCAAACAAGGTCTGGAAACTTTGTTGCACCGAATAACAATAACGATAACAACCTTTTCCGTTCTCGAAATTCTCTTTATTTTGGTGCCCCCGGCCATGAATTTCCTGGTTTGGAAGTTGCTATTTTCCCCATCTTCCATCTTTTCTCGATTCCCATTTCATTTCACGCGTTGTGGGCTTTTGGGTTCCCGCCCCTTCTCTCCTCTCGCCCTCCACGGCGGGGAGACGATATCATCGCTCTTCCCCCTGGCTTTTTTACTTCTCCAACAGCCTTCGACACATGTACATAACTAGCTAATACGGTCCAGCGGCCTTGCTCTTTGCTACGTACTTATCAAATCGAATGGGCTCCGACCGACAGGGTCTAGATCCCTAGACAGAAGGCCGCGTGTGCGCGGACCATACAGACTATTCCACGTCGGGACGTCGGAATACATGGAAAGCAAGAGCAAGCGCACGCGCAGGAAACACGTTTATTGTTCTTGCTTGCCTGCTTGATTGATTGATCTGCTGATTGATTTTGCCGGATTGCTTCGTTAGTTGCTTGACTTGCTTGCTCACTCACTTTGATAGCCGAACCCAAGAACTCAGTCGAGGCTGGCTGGCCATCTGCAGATCCTCCCACACCTTCAGGACAGGCTTGCAGCAGCCCGAAGCCAAACAGATCAGAGGCCGCCAAGCGCATAATGCCGAAAGCGGACGCGAGCCGAG